TTTGGTTTAGTATAATAAAATTATAAAGTTTGGCATTCAATATGGAGTTTATATAATGTGATTATACACGAAATGTTGTAATAAAATTGTTTTATCCCTTGATTCATGTATTAAAGAAAAATACCACTAACATTTCGTTAGAAAATTACGAATATACCTCCCAGGAAAACCTTCGAGTGCAAAGAGTTAACAAATTCCTTCGAAAAGGAACATATGAAATCAATATGACAGATTTTGTGGTAAAAGTGAACATTACAGATATTATGTTAATTGATGAACGAAAATACTTAACGTATCAAAAAGACTAAAAATGAATTCTTTTTAAGATACTTTAACGCATATGTTTCTATCATCGTGTTCCAAATTTCAAATTTATTTATACGACTACTATCGACACGTGTCAGTATTGATGACACAAGTGTAAAAGTATTAATTCTTAACATATCAATGTTAAAAAGATTTTATTTGATATCTATATATATTAACACTGTTTATTCAGTCCTGGTTGCATCTAAATTGTTAATGTAAACTTTGAAAGTTTGTTTTTATTTATTGTGTAGTTGTCAAACTTATATGAATTCACATTCTTTTATAATAATTTCATCATTTTTATAAGAACTTCGTCTCTCCAATGAATAGCTTTTATCGCGGCACGTATCGGCGTATAGGTAAACTATGTTATTGAATAACGCACCACAGTATTTGATTTCACAAAGCGTAATATATAGTTGTAGTTACAACCGTTGTATAATTGTTTTCAAGTTTGCAGACGTTCGCTGCATACGAACCACCAGCGGCGCGTAATATTTCAATAAACGTTTCGAATCCAATCCAGTTACAACTGCAGCATTACAAACTTTGCGTGTTCCCATTTTTAACTGAATATTCCGTATTACTCCGGATATTGCGCATTGTACTCCATCGCACTTAGTTCCCAACGAACGTAAAACTATCGAGAAGATAAGAGAATTCATTTCCGCGAAATATTCAATTAACTTTGGTTTCGCTTTTGTTTGAGCACCTGAACGGCCGCACAGTTTTACGTGACCTGTTTCGCGATCGATGATTATCATTGTGTAACGCTGAACGGGCGCAGGCATTCCAATGGATTTTGCAGTGAACGAACGAAGTGTGATCTACTTCCAAAAAATTAATTTACTTCGTTAATTATGCGGTTGCCTTTGGCTTTAATCGCTTCGGTCTATTTTTTCTGAAAACAATAGGATTACAAAGAATATTTCATCTTTGTTCGAGAAATGATAGGGTAATTCCGTGTGAGAATAGGATATCTCATTGAAATTGTAATATTTTCAATTTTTTTTAGTGGTATACTGAATCTTTTAGAAAAACCTATTTGACACATTGCGTACCGACTAATTCTTAGAAAACTGGCCGGGGATTTTCAATGAGATCAACTTATATCACTATATGTAAAATATTCGAACTTATTGTTATATATATTAAATATTAATCTTATTGTTATTTAATAAATTTTAATTATTTAACTGACGAGAGACTGACATATGCTTCTTTAAAGTATTTAAGACTTCGATACATTCTGTTTTTTATGAAAAGAAATGGTAGATGTTTTAGACAATCTCAAAGTGTTAATAAAAAATTGTCAACCGTTAAGGGTTAAACTGGATCATTTGACTGATCGCCGATACGATTAGTGTTAACTTACGATTGTATTTCGCAGTTACACTTATTATAACTATTTATCATCAATAATACACTAGTAAACGAAAAATCCCCTGCTCTTTCTAAGTCTAGAATTATTCCAAACGATACAAATTGTTAACAACGTAAATAATATTTCATTTGAACTCAGAAGAACCGAATGACATTTACGTTTGTTAAACAATATTGGAAATCTTTGCTACGATCTTGACGCAACATTGTAAGGCAAGGGGGTTGAAGGACCGAAGAAATGTTTTTGTCTTCATTCACACTGTTTCATAATCTATGGGACACACAAAAAAGGCGACGGAGCTACGTCCAGTGAGTATACTAGAGGATGCGTCACAATGATCCAATTCAATTCGCAAAGTTTATTTTCGGTTTGCACAGAGTGCTGTTCTGGCGATGTCGTGATGAAAGATAACATCTTCACGATTCGCCAAGATGGTGAACGTTTATCTTGAGTGCCTCCTTTTAAAAGGGAACGTGTCGAAGTGACACGAGCAGATTCCAATGAAACCTTCACAGAATAAGAAGTATTAAATGCGGTTAATAATCATTGATTTCATTTAGACGTAAACATTCTCTTGTGATTTGGGAATTTTCCATTTTCGAGACGTTCCATTTTGATAATGGAACAAAATAATAGAAGTAATGGTGAACGTTTCGAGAATTGAAATGTTTATTCTGTAAATAGACGGTGGATTTAGTTTAAAAACGTACCGAATGGTACTTTTATTCACACGTACTTAGTTTCTATCGGCTCCCATTTATATTGAAGCGGTGAAAGCAACCCTTAAACGTAGAGGTTAGAAACACGTTCCCTGGAATATCTTGGAACCTGTAGGAACTACAAACATTTTGGAAAACAGTTTCCAAGGTATACAATAAGTAAATGTACTTAAAGTATAGTACTCGTTTACTTAGGATGTCGTATTATTTTCAGTGAATGCAGTGCAAAAATAAAGAAAGAATAGAAAAACATTTAACCACTATTCGTACGTATCTCTTTAGTGCAGTCAAAAGAAAGGTTAATTTTAATATCAGCACATTATGTAAACGTGAGCTTCTAGGCGGATGAGGTTGAAATAAATAAAATAATAAAGAATATATAAACGTTAGTACAAACTATTTAAAATTGCTTAAAATCAATACTGTTTTAACAAAATCAGTTAAAATGAACACTCTACATTTGCTAATACTCATATACGTTACACCCACATGAATTTCATCCTACAGAAAATGCAAGGAAATTTAGCAACGATAAATTCTTTTATAATTAAAAAATAAATCTATTTTATCTACATTCCTTGTGTATATATTTCTCATATACAAACGTAGGATCAATATTTGACCAGAAAAGTGAATAATAAATAAATCAGCAATAAGTAATAGCTCCTGAATGTATTATTTAAACAAATGGCTATGGACGCCCCGGTAAAAAATGTAGAATTTTATTTTGAACAAGGTTTTTCCAGTCCCAGCGGTTTCCAAGATATTCAAATATTCAAATATTCAAATACCCTTTTCATCCCCAATTTCGAGGGCTGTATTTCATTCGAAGTGTATTGTTCTGTTTAAATTTCGTGGAATGTCCGTGGCAGGTTGATGCACGACGCGGCGACTCTTCAAAATACGTAACAAACGCTTTTTCGTGCCATTCGTGATATTTGTTTTTTAACGATATCCATGCGTCATTATCGCGCGCAGGTGATGTCCGTCTTCGTTTGTTTTCAATTTTATTTCGCCGGATTATTCATCCGCGTTGGCCAATTTCTGTTCTGAATAACAACTGAGCGGGCCGCGTTACCAAGGACATGAATATTTCAACAAGATTGCTCACCGTTTCCACGTGACAATGTCGATCACGCAGTCTATCGAGAATCCATCAAAACTTTTCTACTCACCCCATATCTATTTATTATTTGTTGTCCGCCGCAAATGTGCAATCAATATAATTGTCCCTACCCATGGCGAAATAATAATTTCTTTTCTGAAAACTTGCTCACAGAATTATGAACAACGTAATAATTTTAAATATCTCGCATTGTTGCGGAAAAAAATGAATATTAATGATTATTGGAAAACGAAGCTCGTGAACCTATAAATAATTATTAACAAAATACATTTCAATTTAGGTCTGATTTTTTACGTTATTTTACTATAAATTAAAAGTTGCAGCAAGTTTTTAAAAATCTATTTTAAGACTTTTGTGGAGACAGTGCTTGATAAACAGTTCAAAGATGTTTTTAAAATGCAGAAGCTACTAATTTTATCGAAATTTAATACTTCTGAGAGAATTAAAACACGTACTGTCTTTAATAACTTTGGACATTGTTTCATATCGCTCAGTGCGTGCTATTTTAATCAAGGAAGAGAATGAACGGACATTAAATTGAATTCACATAATCCTCTAATGAAGATAACATTGTTTTATTACAATGGGGCCGTTCTTATCTGACTTCTTTCATGATTACTGAAAATTGTACCGGTTCATACGTATGTGATAATTGAGGAAATACTCAATTTGTCTCATGTTTTATTCGTATGCTTCAGGTAGCATTAGGTAATTAATATTAAAGTGAAGATATGAAAATGGAGTGAAGTAATTAACATCGTAAAATGTGAGGTAGAATTTCATTACCAAAGATAATTACACAAATTGTGAAGAAATTGCAGAAGTTGTCAATAAAAGTAAGAAACACAATATTTCTTTTAATAATACGGAAAATATTACCGTAAGTAAAATTAAATAAAAATGTAACTATCTACAATGAAAATAGTGGAAAATAATTTTTGTTGGTGTTAGAAAATTAGTTCCTGCAACTGGAATGGATAATTGCTTAAATGAAAAGCAAACTGTTGCAAGAAATCCTCGAGCAATGACTTTAAACTGTAAAAACATGGTGTTTTTATCGAGGAATAAAAGTTTATCTCTAACTAGACGATAAAAACAATTATAAAATTAAGTCTTAATTAAAAAAAATTGTTAAATGGAGCGACACTTACTTTGCTCTTTACTCACTTTGATTGACAAATTAATTATGAAATTAATCGTATACCTGCGTTGAAGGATTTATAATTTAGTAGTCAAAAACAGAAGTCGGTTCTATGAATACCTAAACAAAACTATGAATTTTGATGGCCTGAATTTCAAAATAAATAACAATATGTAAAAGATAACAGAAAATGTAACAATATAAGTTATGTAATCCTTTGTTCGAAAATTCATTTATTCAAACGTTTATATCTGTCCACCAATTAATTTGGACACGTGTCGACGTACATCGATTTTTAAATGTAATTACGTGTGTTTCCAGTGCCACGATTGGATTTGGATAGTCTCGAAAGTGGATACCACGGGCTGGTGAAGGAAAACGAAACTCTGGTCGAGGTCACACCACAGATACGAGCTTTGGGTGCGAAAGTCTGCTCCTTCCGTATCGCCAACAAACATCACGGCGAAGCACCCTTCGAGATTGTTTTAAAAGAGAAAGGAATCGCAGAGCTGAGAGCGCTGCGAGTTCTGAACTGTGAAAAACGTCGTAACTACAAGTTCGACATCGAGGCGGTTGGCTGCAATGGCGCGCTATCGGAGAAGTATGAATCGCATGAAACGAATTTCAAACTTCCGCGAACGCTTTTTAGCCTCCGCTAACATTTCCCGCGAATTATTACTGCTACCGGGGCTCGTATAATCAAATTGTTCTTATTCGAATTACCGGGGAAACGTAATCTCGCGAGAATGGAAGTTTTCAAATAATTTTATACAGCACTTTTACGCACAGTTACACCGCTGAATGCTTACAGAAAGATTCCAACCGTATTACGACAAAGTTTTAAGCTTCCTATTAACTGTAATTTTACTTATTCGATTATTGAATCTTCGGGAGTAACGGGATTCTCAGAAATCCTCTAAAGCTCCGTCCCTTTTGGTTCATCAGCGACTCTTTCAATTGCGAATTAGAACTTAGAACTGCGTTCAACCCTTTCATCCATGTATTTTTTTCAATATATCAAAGAGATGGCCAAGGACAGCTGACTTCAAGTGAAAGCTTTTTAGTGAAAGGAATAAGATAAACACTAATAAGAATAATAATTAGATATACTAATAATAATAATGAATGATCCTTTTGATGCTGGGGGTGTTACAATTATGTACCAGTAGGGTTTATACAGGCCTATGCACAAAAATATTTTACAAACTATACAATGCCACTGGAATAACGAATTTTGGAAGATTCGTTAAGGTTCCCATACACGCTGAAACCTGCAGCGATGTATCGCTACAAGCGATGGGTTCGAGCTTTTTCTACTTTTTGAGTGCAACATGTATTATGAAACTTTAGAAGACAAACCCATCACTTGTAGCGATGCATCGTAGGTTTCTACGTGTATGGGGGCTTTTAAAGTAATATCCTACAAATAATGCAAGTCATTCAGATAATCATTTTGTTTATCTTTCAGAACGCACCGCATAAAAATCTCATTACAAATTTATCTAGCAATTGTACGTTGACCGCGATATTAATATGAGTATACGCGTCATCTTAAAACGATACCAATTCTTTCAACGCTGAATTCTTTATTTCTTCGCCAAACATGTATTTGTCCTTTGCTTTGCTTCGGTGTTTCATTAAAACATACCGCGTAGCATTCGCGTTTGACGAGCGCACGTTTCATTTTTTCCGATTAAAATTCGGCGAGAGCTCCCCTTCGTTACAACAGAATTTCTGTATTCTTCATCTCGCAGGAAAATTTTCCAGCCGAGCACTCCGATTCGCGTAATCTCGCCGTTGTCCGCACTATTGCACAGCACGTGGCGGCGCGTTACGTATTGTTGGTTTAATGACGTTGTCGCACCTGAACGTGTATACAGAATTCTTCCCGCGGAGGGGGTATCCTTCAAGAAGATAAGGAGCGTATTCTGCCGACACAATGGGACGCTCCGGCGACATATGGCCAACGGAGGGTTTTGTTCCATTGGAGGCTGGCATCGGGTATCGACTTCGCCGCGCGCGCTAACGTAATAATTGGGTTGCGCCGGAAGCCGACGTCAGATTTTTCATGTTTCCTTTCGATTTTCGACGGCCGGCTCGATGCCGTTCTCAAATATTCAACGTTTGTTAATAAAAGAACCTCTTAAAGGCCCCTTTGGAAAGCTGCTTAAGTGGAACAGTAG